TGTTTTCTTAATAGTGAGTTTTCAGAGTTCTTTATATATTCTGGAAATAGGTCTTTTATCAAATACACGCTTTTTATGAGTATTTTTCTCCCAGTTTGTGGCTTGTCTAATTCACTTTCAAAGACCAGAAGCTTAAGCGCTGACGAAGTCCAATTTATCAACTTTTTAAATAATGGAATTTGCTTCTGATGTGGTATCTCTGCCCATCCCAAGGTCACAAAGATTCTTACGTTTTCTTCGAGAAGTCACAGTTTTAGGCTCTATTAAATTTTGCATAGGTGCAAAGTGTAGATTGAATTTCATTTCCTTGCGTATGGATTTCCAGTTGTTTTCGCACCATTTGTTGAAAAGACGGTTCTTTCTCTACTAAATTATCTTTGAATCTTTGTCGAAAATCAGTTGTCCAAATACATGTGACTATTTCTCGGCTCTTCTGTGAGGTTCCATTGATCTGTACCTTATTATTGTACCACCCTCAATTTTGAAAAAAAATTTTTAAATTAAATTTTTAAAAAAAACGTTTTGAATCTAATTTTTAAATCAGCTTTTAAAATAACATCATTTACGTAGTAGTTAAAAAACTTAAGACATCCTTGGAAAACTCCTCTCTTGAATTTTTATATTCTTTTTTATTTCCAAGAGTTTATTACAGATCTTTTCTTATGGGCTGGGCTGTCTAATTCCTCCACAGGACGGGTGGGGGCACAAGCCTGCCTGTCGTGGTCTGGGGACCCAGTGAGCAGGGGAGCGTTCACAAAATCCTGTTTCTAGCGCTTGCCTGCCCTTCATCCGCTGCTGTGCGCTGGTGGCCCCGTCCAGAGCCCGTGCAGGGAGCAAACCTCAGGGGAGGTCCTGCTGGTGGGGGTGCTCGGGGAAAGGAGCACCTGCCTGCCTCTTCTGTAGACTTTCAACCCATCCTCCTGTTTTCAGCCTCCTCCTGAGAAATGCGTGGTGCCCCCAGTTCTTGAGTCTTCCCCGGGTTCTGAGGCCCAAATGGAATCACTGTTGGTGGCTTCCTCTGACTGGGCCTCTGTTTCAGCTCATGCCCCTCAGCTGAGTTTGTTCTTGTTCGCCATCTGCTTCCCACTTCTGTCTGCTCTCTCCTCGTTGTCTTGGGCGGGACAGCGGTAAATGCATCCATTCAGTTTGCTGTATTTGAGTGAAGGACTTTCTTAGCCTCTCCCTGCCTCCCTCCTTCCCCT